CTTTGTTGGTGACCTTCAAATTTCTCATAGGCACGGTGACGAAAAACAGACTTTGAAAAACGCTTACCTGTGTGGTATGAATGTGCTAAGGGCTATTTCCATATCCAGAGAAGAGCCAAAGCGCCTGAATTGTGGGTCCTGAATGATCACTAGGTTCTTTGGGTCTGCTTTTGATCCTTTCTTCCGGGCACCTGAAACATACAATGTGAAACAAATTCAAAGCTGGCCATACACCTATAGATTGTCTGCAGAGTTTCTATGGTCAGATGGAAAAAGTGCAACAGATTCCTCCATCTACGCTAAACTGTGTGGAAGGAGGAATCTCCCACTGGGCCAAGCTTTAGGATCTTGCTAGTCGGCCCCTCTGGCTGTCAAACTACCTCAATCCCTGAATACCTGAAAATGCCTGCATCCAATCAGATTGTTCAGGTATTTTGACCAGGTATTTTGACCAGCATGTTTAACTTCAAGATCTGTGAACATTCATTTGGTTGATGTGCATTAAAAATTATCACTCTCATTTCTACAGAGGAGGGAACAACTAAAAGATCAGATTGGCATATTATCTAGTGTGATGGAAACTATATGTCACTGATAATGCATTCATTGCTTTCTACCCTACACTGGCAATGGCGAACGATTCTTGACGAATCACTAACAAAACCTGATCCACTTTTTCATTGTACCAATGTACAGTGGATGTACACAGACATATACCACAAGGAAAGGTGTGAAGAAATGTAGCATCACAACTATCCTGATAATACGTTATTGTGTAATGTAGTTGTGGTCTCTTACACAAAATGTAGGAATGAAGCAAGTCAGTGGAAAGGGTGTGGTGACTTCTGCTCATTGGTTCTGCTTAGGCCTGATTAAACAGTATAGGTATTCACAGACAATAGATAACTAAAATTACATACTGCTGAATTCTATACGTGATCTTAAAGTGTAAGTGCACCTTAACAGCTATATTGTGCCTTGGCATCCCTTCAGCCTCTCCTGCCAGCTGTCCCCGATCCAGTGTGAAATCGCTGATGAGGATACAGAGCTGCTCGCCAAAACCTTCTATGCCGGTCTTAAGCATGCACTGTAGAAACTCACACAACGCACTTCCTGCACTGTAATCACACAGGAGCTGCGCTGTGCAGTACTCTGCATTAATTGCATGGAACCATGTGATCAACCAACGGAGGTAGTGTGAACGAGCCCTAAAGCAGCATGAAGTATGAACTCTATAAGGAATGAATGAAGTTCATGCATGGACCCGTCTCAAAGGATTTTGACAATTGGCTCTGTTAGAGTCATCTCGTAGCTTTAGGGACAGGTGAGAATAAGGCTGGCCATACACTATGTAAATTTCAGCTGGTTCTTGATGAAATTCGCACAGTGGGTGCCGCTATCAGCACCCTTTCTGCCGGCATTCCTCAATTAGCTGATAGGAGGAGCCAGTTTGAAAATCTTCAAATGAACAGACCTGACAGCCAATCAGCTGCTGGCTGGGTTGAGGTATTTTGACAAAGGCGGGAGATTCCTCCATCAACACCCGTAAGTGTTGATGGAGGAATCTGTTATATTTTCTTAGTTCAGCACGCAGGTTGAACAAAGAGAATATTACAATGTATGCCCAGATTAAAACTTGTGTGAGGGTGGTCACAGCAAGGTGCAGTTACAACATATGATCCATACAACGGTGATATTTTAATTTTAGGGGAAAAGCAGCGGGTTTGCTAGGATAATCCAAAATTAAGATCTCCCTGTTTTAATTTCCAACTCCGTTCCCCTCTAGTTGGGAGTTTTTCACCTACGTTTACTTGTTTTATGTTCTCCTTTTGCTTTTTCTGGAATATAAAATAAATACAACCACCAATAAGAATTGTGGGAACCCCTCATAATGACCCAAGCAGGTATGCAGACCCAGGAACCTAAGCACTGAGATCTAACCAAGAGAGTTAGAATTATATCACATAGGCAAAGTCTTCACTCACCCTCTTAATGGTAAAAGGAAATAACATGAAGGCATCTGGCATGAACTGGTAATTGCAAAGGGAATCAAGTAGGTGGATATCTGACTGTACCATCTATATTGTAAAATGTCACCTTTTTTTGCTTGTCAGTATACTGCAATGTAGTGCAAGGCCCAGTTTAGAACTGCTGCAGACACCCTTGGCCAACAGATCTCAGGGGGAAAGTCTACGAGCCGTGTTTTATGTTCCCAGCAGGGATCTGCAGTAATCTGAGATGACAAGGCTAATGCTGACCACATTTGCTGGCATGCAAACTTTGCATTTTTATATGTCCGACAATATTATTCAGTTTTTAATTTCCTAACGTTGAACTGCCATTTATTACCCATGGCCATCTTAAATCTTAAATAATTTTTCTCTTTGACAAGCAGGTGTTTTCAATGAATTCTACCTCCATTGATGTATAACTGTGTCTCCAGTCTGGAGGGATCTTTCCTGTCTACTTACTACCAGGGATACTGTGTGGCATACCAGAAGCAAGCAGAGTTCTGAACTGTTCCACGGCTTTGGCCACATTGATCTGGTAAAACTCCCATAACTTCAGCTTGGGGTAGATCTCCTCCCATACGATGCCACGAAAAGTCTGCGGAGAAGAAAAAGAAAACTGTCCATCACATATAGTACTACACATTGCTCTTTTGTACTCAGTAAGTCTAGCATCTACTTATGATGTTCTATCATTCCACTCATAAGCGGAGTAGATGTTATGCTACGCAAAGCTGCACCTGAAGCACAGGGGTGGGTACAAGACCAATCACCCTCCACAAGGAGAGAGAGAGCAGAAGTGACTGGTCCTTATTACAGAAACTGGGCATCTGGGAGAAATACGCAAAGCACATTAAGCTCCAGAATACACACATCTCCTGTATTTAGAGATTATTTGCTTATCCTAGAGGTCAGATTTAAGCAAGTTTTCCTTATACACTCAGTTTGAACTGTTCAGGCTAGTGACTGGTTACTTTAAAGCAGTGGTTCTAAACCTGTGGGTCGCCACCCACAGTTGAGGGGGTCCCCACGTGCCTTTTTCTGCTCTAGATAAGAGGCTCCTCAGCCTCCTCCTAGCACAGCAGTGTCAGTTCTCCTAGATGGCGCTGCAGCAGCAGCGGCCGGAGGGGATCAGAGAGAGGGGAACAGGCAGGAGTAAGGGGAGGTGAGAGCTTGATCACCACAGAGCCCGCACTGGGCACCACAGAGCTCGCAACTGGGCACCACAGAGGCCGCACTGGATGCCAACAGAGAGTCCCACTAGCCACCTGAGAGCCTGCATAGCCTCCTGAGAGCCCACACAGATACTAGTATTGGTGGATCCCTATATTTTACAGTTGGTGGTCACCACAGCTTGGCAAATGTTACCAAGGGGTCCCGGCCCTAGAAAGGTTGAGAACCACTGCTTTAAAGGGACTTGTTTCACACATAATAATTTCAGATCATTCAACCATAACTCCAGCCAAAATGTCCCCTTTAGTTGTGGCAGTGGAAAAAGGATAAAACCTCTGCTGTATATTTCCAGTAAATGTTTGGGCTGGTGTTGGGCTTTAAACGTATATATATTTACTGAATCACTGCAATGGAACTAGTAATGGGTCATGGTTTATGGCTATTTCCATCAGAGCTTGATCACACTGGTGTTTTGCTATATGATATACTTAGGCTGTCATAAAATCTACTTACCGGGACTAGGGAAAATGATTACAAAAAACTGAAGTTGCTGACCAAAGGGACCAACCAGTCCCCACTGTATACAATGTTATTCAATATAAAATGAATACTCAAATCAAGTGTTGCCCATGACTATAACACTACATTTGCTTTTTAAAGTTTGTAAACACCGTAGTGTAATTTAGCAAATAGTATTTTGTTTCACTCAAATTTCATTGACTTTTATATAAAAAAATAATAATAATTTGTACCTTTCTTTTATCATTTATTTGGTGGTGACATGACTGCACCGCCTTCCTTGACTATTCCTCTTCCCCATAGTGGGGTGGTGGGCATTGAGTTGTTACATACAGGGGGGGCATACAGTATGTTCCTTATCTATGTGCCATGCATCATAAGGAGTTGCTATCAATCACGCAAGAGGGCTGCTGTGCTGGGGGCATGGCTGGTAAATTGTCCACGGAGATACAGGTCAGTATGGCAGTATATCAAAGATACATAAAACTGATTTGAATGTTTAGGGCAACATACACTTTAATGCTCATCACTAGAAAACAATTACACACTGAATTCCTCTACAACTGTCAACATACAGGACCATATACGTGTGGTTCCAGGACTTCACTTTTCTTATTGCTTTCAGACATGTCCACATTCTAGCAGAACTGCTCAATACATATCAGCCTAAACTCACAGCAGACACACCTAGAAGATCATTCTTCACTCCTGAGCTGACTGACTCAAAGCCATCTAACTTCAAAATTGGTAGTCCCAGCTGGTATTCAAAGCTGGTATTCCCAGCAGTACATTTCCATTCATACAGCAGGGCATGTCAATCACCACACTGTAGCTTATTTCTGTTTCCCTGGCAAAGAGGACTTCAAGATACAGTTTTATCCAATCTAGAGTTGAATTATGTTACATTCTAAGGAACCAAAGTAAACCGTAAGGGGATCAAAATCCATCTTTTTTAAAAAAATGCAGAATCAATAAACTTTAAAATATTGCATTTGAACATTATGTATTGCATATGGGCCTGGTGGGTTTGGCTCTAGACCTTTTTTCACATGTTCCACATTCTCCTCAGCAGTCATTCATCCCACTCTCTCTTCCTTTATGTCTTTTCTATGTTTAAATTAAAAGCATAGGACGTGAAAGGAAGCAGTTTTTGCTGTGTACTTTAGAAAACCCACAATTCTCTGTGAATCCTTTGTCATGGAAACACAATTTATTAAGTGTTCATTGGTAAAACATACCAATACATATAGTAAAAAAACAATGATAGTGCTGAATGCATGAACAACCGATTGCCAAGCACCAGAGTTGTAAAAGGAAGGAAAGTAAGACATGCCCCCCATACCCAAAGCACTGAGTATTTCCCCTTGCTCCTTGCAGCCAAACGGAGAAGTAGGGGAGCAAAGTGAAGGTGAGTATGTGCTACTGGTGAGGTTAGCATTAAAGTAAACCTGTTGCTATGCTCTGCAAGGGTTTGCTTTAAGACAGTCTCTAATAGATCTCGGGGCTGCTATTGTTTCCCCTAAAAAAGGCTGATGCAGAGATTCTGTACAGCAACTGTGTTGCACCATCCATCATCTCACTGCATAGAATATAAATGCTCTATCGACTCCAACGTGGCCAGATTCTACTGATGTCTATAAAACATATAAGGCAATTAACTTACATTTAGCTGCTGGTCATTTTGGAGGAGGGCCGGAAGCCCCCGTGCAGCATATTTTCCTGCTGCCACATTACAGGTAAGGTGCCATAATGCTCTGTCTAGTAACCAGGCTGGTTTGAGATGGGGAGAGTTAACCAGGTTGTACCCACACTCTGGGTGATCTTTAATCCATTTGCTATTAGAAGCTGTAAAATAAAATGAATACACCTTTGTTTACACCAAGGTATCACTATGATGCAGCAACACTAATGGAATGTAACAATATTATACTATTATTATTATTATTATACAGGATTTAGATAGTGCCAACAGTTTGCGCAGTGCTTTACAATATAAGAAAGACATTACATTTACAATACAAATCAACACAGGATGGGTAGGAGGGTCCTGCCCGTGAGAGCTTACAATCTGAAACATAACTGCACAATGCTTAGGCACTGGCCATAGATAAGTCTCACCCAGAATATCATCTAAAACCTTGGTTCTCAACTGGGCGGTTGTGACCCAAAAGTGGGTTGCGACCCCATGTTTAGTGGGTCGCCACATGCCTTCCACTTTTCTAGGTGGGACACTCCTCAGCCTCCCCCTAGTGCAGCACCACCAGTTCTCGTGCAGAACAGCCATTCAAAATATGCTGCCCGGCACTGCGTGTCAGTTTGAGGTGGGGTAGGCTGGGGGTATGGTCACAAGGGAGCTCCATCTATACATGCATTGCTTACAACTCCCACGTGCACTGTAGAGGTGCCTGGACCAAACTGACGTCACATTCTGGCTCCTGGCACCCATACAGGGTGCGTAAGGGAGCTGTAAAAGCAATGCACATATGGATGGAGCTCCATCACAGCCCACACTGGACCCCAGGCTGAGGATCCACTCCAGTTCTCAGAAGATAGGGAGACTGGGGGGATCTTAAAAAAAAAAGAAAAACATTTTTTTTTGAGTGTGTGTGTGAGAATGTCTGCGAGTGTGTGAGATTGTGTCTGTGGTTGTTTGTCTCGGTTAGTGTTTTTGAGGGTCTGTTCACACTATTGCAGTGCGTTAATCCACAGTCCCATTAATGCTCAGTACCACGCATCCACACCTACGGCGTGTTCTGGTGTGGGAGGTGTGTTGCGTTGCCATTAATTTGAATGACACCCCAAACGCACCACCCAACAGTCCGATCGTCTGAACCTGAACGCCCGGGTACTGCAATGCCGTGCATTCCATTGCAGTGCGCCTTGGGTCGTGACCTAATTACCAAAGACAAATGTGGGTTCTGAGATTACACAGGTTGAGAACCACTGTTCTAAAAGAAAATGTATAACGTTTCAGTGAAATGTCTTCAACATGACAGAACAATTATGGTTGAATGTGTCCAACTACTACTAGCAATAACATTTCTAACATTGTACGATGGGATGTTTATAATAATTATGTATACGTAGCACACTGCCACTTTAAGGGCAGGTGTGGGTAGCCCTTTATAAGTTCCGATTGTATCAGGCTGTTCTTGTTCGATTTGATAAGCAGTTTTAAGCATTTGATTTGCACTGTGCACTGTAAAAGAATCAAGCGTACCTGCACACTGTGGGACCCTTGCCTTGAGCAGTCAGCAGTTAAATAGAGCTATAGAACTCAGAAAGTAAGGCTGTACACAGACATTCCTAGATTTTTGACAGCAACAGGTTATCAATTTGTTTTTTAACACATACAAGGGACTTGGACAGCATTGTTATTATATCCTCGTAGGACCACTGCGATCAGGATTCTTACACTGCTCTGTACCGTCACAATCACCAAGCCAAAAGCAGAACTTAACAAGCATTAAAAACTAAAACATATGGCGTATTGTGATCTTTGGTCCCACGATCAGTCAGTATTTAGTAATTCCCACTTCGGAACTAATCACAGCCTCCAACAGGTTCCTGCAGCCAGCTAGTATACTTTCTAAAGTTGTTGATGCTTTTTTCTCTCACTCAACATTATAAATATTGAATTCACCCAGGAGTACCCGCATTTTTCCATATGACTGTATGTACATGAGCTCTTACCTGTATGGTTATATACAACATCTGTGATGCACAACATATCCCACTCTGTCCTCATCTTGTGCACCAATTTTCCAACATCTTTCCACGTGTATTTCTTCCCTTGCCTGGAGAAATCAGGATTCAGCGCCAACTGGTCAGCCAAAGAATAACAAGATCGAGATTTACCCAAAGTCTGGAGGGGAGTAAAGTGCACCATGTTGTAACCTGCAATGTATGAAATAAAATATTTTAAAAATGCTTATGTATTTTTTTAATGATTATTCTAAAGGCAAAAAGAAATGTAAAAAAATGTACAAAAAATATATAAACCTTTTCCTGCTCAACTAAAAATAAGTTCAAAACAACACGTTCACTGTGACTAAATAAGCACCTTTTATTCTGTGATTTGTGTTTGTACCATTAATACAGTAAAATTATGTTATGACTGAAAACATGATAAAGTTATGTATACATAAAATAAAGGCACTTCTTCATTTTGGGTATGTTCTAATGCAAGGCTACACATAAAAAAGCAAAGCAAAAGAATCAGAATAAAACAAAAGGATGTTTTTTTTTTTTAATTTAGCATTTTCAGCCTGGCTCCTTCGACAAAAGGTGACAGAAGAATTGATGGGGGATCCGGATGGGGCCGCACACTGCTCGAATTTCAGAGTCAGCGTACTTGGCAAAAATACGAGCAGAGTATGGGCAGCTTAAGTGTTAGTAAGGGGTTAAGCTATACAAATTGTATTTAAAAGTAAAGAAAAGTTTTTTTTTCAATTAAGGGTTTGTTAACATATGGGCAGAACTATCTGACCATGTTTCAGATTACACCCTAAATATGGGTGTAACATGAAACGTGGTAAAAAAAAAGTCAATAAAGCTGGCTATACACTGTTATATTTTCTTCATGCAGCCTGCCGCCCTGAACAAGGAGAGCATAACAGATTCCTCCATCAATGCTTTTGAGCGTGGCCTTATCAACATGGTGGTTGCAGCTGATTGTCCAAGCTCTGTTTGGCTGAAGATTTTCCAACCGTCTCCTTTAAACTTGTTTGAGGGATGCCAGTCGGAGGGGTGCCGACAGTGGCACTCACTGTACGGATTGTGGCCGCTCCATCAAGAACCAGCCAAAATTTGCATAATGTATGGCCAGCTTTTAAATCCTTTAAAAGGTGTCCAGTTATCTCTTAGATTAGGCCTAAAATGACTTTTTAGTTTATACAGTGCTGTAGCAGTCAGGCAAAGCATAATGAGAACAGGCCACAAAAACCCATAAAACAGTACTATACCATTCACGCAGTGAACAATGGCCTCAATGCACAAGATAGGATTCCATTGTGAAAGCTTCCAATGCTATGTTTCAGGTTATGCTATGCTTGTCCTTCTTAGATGTGAGTCCTGTATGTTTCATTTATTCAATGCAGGAACAATGATCTGCATTCAATAGCACCGAAGGACTCAGGGAAATGTACTGATTCTAGCACCTATCCATGCACTCACATCCAGAAGCAGTCTTCTAAAAATGTAATCCACCTGAAAGCACATTGAGGGGAATTTATCAAAACTGGAGCAGACAAAATCTGGAGCAGCCGTGCATGACAGCCAATCAGCTTCTCTCTTTCATTTTCAAACCTTAACTGAACAAACTGAAGAACGAAGCTGATTGATTGCCATGGGCAACTGCTCCAAATTTTGTCTGCTCCGGTTTTGATAAATTCCCCCCACGGTGTGATCCATGTAACTACATTCAGTTTCAAGCGTAGCTAGGCAAAAACTATCCTTGAGGGCCTTTGAACACTATACACACCGAGTGGCAGGGAGGTCTCTCTGGGCCTGTAGGAGGCATGGTCCTGTCAAAGCGATGGCCCTTGCAGCCACTGCCCCTATGCCACATATGACTTACAAACCTTTTGCCAGCTTGGGAAATAAAGTTCCGTCAAACTAGGAAGTGGAATTAATAACAGAGCCATTGTCTTAAAAGCAAAACAAAGACTTTATGCCACTGGAAAAACAAGACAATGGTTTGTTGTTCAGCAGAACTGAATACCTGACTCCTTGGCTACTTTCAACCGATCCTCCCACTCATCAAATGGCCCCAGGCATTTTGCAAGAAAGGTCTGAAGGGTGATACAATCCAGAGGGAGCACACGGTTATCAGCTCCAATTTTCAAAAGAGGATCCACTACAATGTAACCTTCCCCACTCTTCTGTCCACTGAAAAATAAAAGGAAGACTTAGGACACATTATATTGTTAATTGGTAATGTCATGTAATGATTTTTAAATTAGGTTGTAACATCTACGAGATACAATATATTTACCACAAGTAAGTGTAGCTCTATTTTAAAAACCTAAGTGAGGCTGATGTTTGAAATACAAAACAACAACATTTAGAAAATGCCCATACCAGGAAATCAGCAACTACATTTTCCCAATAACATTTAGAAGACTGAAAAGTAAAATGATGGTTGTTAAAGGTAAAAGCTTTGCCCTGATTTTTATAAATACATCCCAATGTAATCCAGATAACAAAACAATTGACCTACAACAACCACAGCAAAAAAAATGACACACAGTAACAGATTGCACTTCATGCTTTTATTAGAAGAAAAACTGATTTGTTAACACTTTTGTCCCATTTTGTCTCAGTTTTTGTAAATTAGTCCTCAGATCACCTTAGCTGGAACGTTTCTGTACATTGCAGTTGACATTTGCACCACCTTCAATGCAAACCCTATGAACATACGTAGTCATACATAGTCATTATACTGATGTAAAAGCAGGCAAGCAAATTGATATGCAGTTAGTCAATCTTGTGACCCTGCCAGTCAGCTTTGCTAGGTCCTGGACAACTATGCCAGCCTTTCTTAACCAGGATGCCATGGCACCCTGAGTGCCTTCTGGCTTTGTTGGGGGTGCCTTCAAATTTTCTCACAGTGTAATGCACTTCCATGATGTAGATGTGCCAGCTATCAGTACCATGGAAATGCATGATGCTAATTCAGAGTAGGCTGCATCCAGGACCTCCTCCAGCATTCCGAAGAGGACAAAATTCCACCTCTGTCCATTCCTGCTCCACATCCCGTCCACTACCATGCTGACTCTAATGTGAAGGGGGGGCCTCAGGACTCTGATGTGAAAAGGGGGACTCAAATGTGAAGGGAGGAATTTTTGTTATTTTGCGTGGGGACTCACCTTTAAATCCATACCAAAGCCCTATGTGTGTTACAGATTTTGGGGGGAAACACAAGTCAGGGTGCCCTGACTTAAAAAAAAGGTTGAGAAACCATGCACTATGTAGACTACACTACAACTAATTAAGTCAGCGGGCCAAGGACACAACATAGCATGTTCACAGCCTGTGCAAAGCAATACAAACCTGACTAGCTCAGAATGCTGCCATATACTTTCGAGCCATTGCTGCTGTACAGAGGAATTCAGAAAGCTGATATGAAGACAGATTTAGATAATTATGTTTGTTCTTTTTAAAAATAATGACTTTTTAGGGGTTAGTGCATACAGGCGCAGGCAAACCTACACTGACAAAAAATGGCCATATCTCTATCGAATGGCAGGATGTAGCTGTATGTATAAATACATGGTAATAATAAATTGTGTTTTATTATCCGCTAGGTGTTCAGCTTTAAATCCACTGATGGCACACAGCCATGTCCTGCATTTGATGACAATATATGCATCTAGAGCTACAATCATCTTTATGGATTATAGTTCTTATAAATCATTTATTATAGAACTTCTACTAATGACCAGCCACAGAACAAGCACTGAGCAAGCTCCACATATTTGATCAGACTTATTAACTCAATTCGTACTACCCAGATCCAGTACCTCCAGATGGTCTGAGACCTCACCCCTATTTCATTATATAATACAAAAACCACATTTAAGCGTTTTAAGAGGCGTCAAGAGCACATAAGGTAGCAGAGTAGATGGGCTTTTCTTGGGTGTTCAGTTTACAGAAGCCAGAGTACTCATGGGATCACTGGGCAGCACAGTGGATTTGTGATTAAATATACTTACCTTGCTGTTCTAAAGTCCTAGATTTACCTGGTACTTGGGCATATGTTATCAAGTGTTACAGGGTTATTCACAAAAGGGTGAAGAGTTTGGAGAAGGCAGGAGAAGTGAACAATCTAGGACAACAACATAGATGAACTGGAAAGCGAGCTGAATTGGAGAATGTTTCCAGCACACTCACACTACATTCAAAAATTACCAGGACACTCTAGAGAAAAGATCCCCTCATTTGAGGTAAGTGGGGGGGCTTTCGGATTGTTGGGGGCTAGGGAATGTAGCCATGCAACATTAAACGTGGTCAGAAAGGTGGGCTAAGTGAAAGGAAACCAAAGAAGACGTGGCCAAAATATAGATTTGAACGAGGTTCTAATCTTCACCCACTCTACTCAAAGCTGACATTGAAGGTTTTGGATAAAGTTCTACATTTGGTCAATGGGAACAATAAAAAATATGAGATTGTATATGGAATGGGAATAATTCCAGCACTCAGAGAGTGTTTGGTAGAAACTATTCAGTAAACATTTATCTGCATGGCAACTCCCTGAAGCAAATCAGAGATGATAAGCTATGAAATTAACAAAAGGAGTGACCTACAAAGATATGAGTGGCTGATTAGGCCCCAATGTTACATTTTTAGAGAGGCAACCCTTAGGAAACTACCTAAATATTAGATTTAACGAAAGAAACGAAATAGCTTAAAAACAGGAAAGGAAGAATTAAAAAACTATTTAGAGATTACCTTTCTGTTACTTACTTGTGATCAAAGCGATACTGAAATGAGCCAGCAACCTGCAGATCCACTTTGCAGAACTTGTCTGAATCTTCTTCTCGGCCAGTTGGGTTTTGCCATTGTAAAGCATAGAAAGTCTGCCGGTCATAGATGCCTCCGGGTGGGGGATAATTGGTATATACAGTGACATTCTTCCCTTGCAGAGTGGGGCCCAGTCTAAATTGTAGCTCGAAGCCTGAAATAAGAGAAAATGGTAGAACTTAGACGCAACAAAAATTGGAAAGGTTCATAAATGTAAGTGGCTGGTCTTTCACTTCATACTGAAGAATAGAATTTACTAAAGCCATTGGGACTTATACAGATGAAAGCCCTAGCACCAGCAAATCAAGCTATAAAGGGAACTTTACCTTTACTTTAAATTTTTATTACGTATAAAATAATTGAATCAAAAAGGTATTTTTTATTTCAACTGGAACAATAATCTGAACTTGACAATTTCAGCCTCTTGTAATCACTACACAGCAGCAGACTGCAAGAATTAGGGGCAGCACTTGAATCAGGTGTTCTGCATTCACGTGTGTATATAAAAAAATGGGGTATACCATTATGGGAATGCCGCTGGGGAAGTCAGAAATGGAGAGAGATTTGGGGTTCATTGTGGACCATAGACTGAAAGGTAGTTTGCAGTGCCAGGCTGCTGTAAACAGAGCTAGCAGGGTTTTGTCCTGTATTAAAAGGGGGATCTATTGCAGGGACAAGTCTATAATTTTGCCACTTTATAGATCATTGGTTCGACCTCATCCGGAGTACGCGGTCCAGTTCTGGTCACCAGTACTAAGGAAAGATGTCAATGAGCTGGAAAAAGTCCAGCGGAGGGCAACCAAACTAATTAGGGGTATGGAGGACCAGAGCTACGAGACAAGGCTACTAAATTTAAACATGTTCACATTGGGAGGTGAGGAGATTAAGGGGGGATATGATCTCCATGTACAAAATGTTCAACGGTGGTAGCAACATTAGCGATAAACTGTTTAAAATTAACTCCACTAAAAAAACTAGAGGCCATCACCTAAAATTGGTGAAAAAGAAGTTCCAGCACAAGGGGCGAAGGGGGTTCTTCACAGTTAGAGCGGTTAGGGTCTGGAACTCACTGCCACGGGCGGTGATTTCAGCAAAGAATGTGGATGATTTCTTAAGGGACCGTAATATACAGGGGTACAGGTAGTACTCCTAGGAACAAGATCCTATAGGTTGGACTTGATGGACTAATGTCTTTATTCAACCTCAAATACTATGTGTGCTCACGGCCAACATGCCGTAGCTTCTAGATAGAACTTACCTGAAAATGGCAGAAAGGTGGACATTGACTTTAAATAACCCTTACCCTGTGTTTATCAATTCAGAAAAAAATAACTGTGCAAATTAGTTATTTTTAAAAAAAAAGAATGTTATTTCTTATTCTGAAAACATAACTGGACAGCAAATGACTTTCACGTTATTGTAAGATAAGTAGATGACACTGAAAGGTCACCTCCAGGCCCTATTCCAGCGTACTCCCTGCACTGTCCGCTAATATTAGCTTGTCTGCAAGGATATATACCACGGGTGTCCTGTTTCTGAGGGCGATGACACCAGGAATATTTGTCTTAAATTAACTTGGCCTTTCACCATTCAGGAGATGTCGGCAATGTAAAAAGCCGTGGATAAGGTCAGGCGGACACCATGTTACATATATTACTTTAGTCCTAGGCACAGAATATATACAGCATGCCTGCACACATCAAGGTAATAATGTCAGACATCTGAGACTTAATCACATGAAGGGAATTTATTAAATCTGCAGCAGTTCTGCACAGCAACCAATCAGCTTCGCTCTTTCATTTTCAAATCTTAACTGAACAAACTGAAGAGAGAATGTGATTGGTTGCCATGCACGGCTGCTCCAGATTTTGTCTGCTCCAGGTTTGATAAATTCCCCCCCACAGTAACACAGACCAGAGTAGAAGCAATCAAAATTTTTTTACCTAAAACTAAATAAAATATAGGCATTGATAGCACTGCTTGGGAGGTACAGAAAATAGAAAATGTTTTACATTGTTGAAGACTTTCACCCTAAATTTGTACATGAATGAAGGGTTAAGAGCAAAAAAAAGGAGTACCATTAAGGTGTTGGCAAGCTATCTTCGTTAGATGTAGTCCTTACCAGACACAGGAAGTTGGACAAAGTATAGTAACTTGGCTGCTGAGGTGCCACAAAATAGTATCCTGAACTTACGGTGCCTACAAGCGATCAATGGTGGCCAGATGTGCATGCACCATTCAGACGCAGAACAAGCATTCTAATGAACGAAGCTCCATTCAGGGAAATGGGCGCATTAGTGCCTGTAGAGGGGGGAGCCCTGCAAGTGCCATTCAGCATTAGAGCATTTGCAAGGTCTCTTGATTAGATGTAACCTCACCAGACACAGGAAGTTGGACAAAGTACAGTATCTTGGCTGCTGAGGTGCCACAAATACCTAAGCTGGCATGGCATCCTGAACTTACGGTGCCTACAAGCGATCAATGGTGGCCAGATGTGCATGCACCATTCAGACGCAGAACAAGCATTCTAATGAATGAAGCTCCAAACTGGCACATTTGTGCCTACAGAGGAGGGAGCCCTGCAAGTGCAAGTTTGTACAATGCAGAACTAAAGCATTTGCAAGCTCTCTTCATTAGATGCAGTCCTCGCCAGACACAGGAATTTGGGCAAGTTCAATATCTTGGCTGCTGAGGTGCCACAAATACCTACAAGCTGGCAAAGTATCCTGGACAAGGTGCCTACAAACAAACAATCAATGGTGGTCAGTTATGCATGCATCATTCAGCAAGTAAGACCTAGCGCTATCTTCAGTGATTTCTGTAATATAAGACCTACATAGTCCTCGCCAGACACAGGAAGTTGGACAAAGTTCAGTATCTTGGCTGCTGAGTTACAACAAATACCTATAAGCAGGCAAAGTATTCTGGACTTAAGGTGCCTACAGACAATGGTGACCAGTTGTGCACGCATCATTCAGGTGCAGAACAAGCGTTCTAATGAAACTGGCACATTAGTGCCTCTAGAGAGGGGCGGAGGGAGCTCTGACAAGTGCCAGTTTGTCTCATGGAAAAACAATAACGATCAGATGGGAGAACACATCCTAGACAATCAATTTCTCCTCCAAACAGGCTTGGCCAAAGGACAATGGGGGAGGGCTAGAGACAAACAGACATTCCTTGATTGAATAGTTTAACACATTGAAGGGAATTTATCAAAACTGGAGCAGACAAAATCTGGAGGTTTTCACTACATTATGTTATATAACATTTATTATTACCCAAGGTTTTGGTAAAATATAAAAGACGGGGTCACGTCGGGTAAACAGACACCAAACATGTCAAGCTTCTCAGTCTACCACTATATTATACTATAGCTGTGCATACACTTGTCATTTTTGTCTCATTCAGCCCCACTAAACAGCATGGATGGAGAAATCTCCCCTGCTGGCTACTAAACCTTGACATCCGGTGGCCAAAGCTGTCAGAATACCGAAACAGCACTCCGATTAATTGGCTGCAGTCACTGTTCAGCTGACAATCGGCCCGCCTCCTTCAACAAAAATCTATTGAAATGCCAACTTTTGTTGATGCAGTGGTGCCAACAGGGCCAACCAGAGCTTGAATTTTGTCCGACTCCTGTAGTATATGGCCAGCTTTAGTAATAATCGTATTAAAGGAAAAAATGACTAATCCATCACACCTTGCCTGACCCCGTATATGATTCAGAATGGACAAGGATGAGGATGTTACAAACAATGTTAAACACGTGTTTTAGCAGGCAGCAATGGTTCATACCCACATTAAAGGTGAACTATAGACAAAAGGCAATAATCAGTCATAAATAAATCCTGAGAATAGCTATTCATATATGTTTAGCATTCCATAACGTTAGCTCTTTTTTGTAGGAAATGAAATCTCAGATAATCACCTGTTTTTGTTGATTCAGGAGAACAGACTCGCCATTATGCATTATGAAGTTCTTCTGTAGTAGCCTTATTACCCCACGCTTAAAAGAGAACTATGGCCCAACATTTTTTGGTGTTAGTTCTCTTTTGGGTCACAGGAGGACATTTACAAAACTCAGCATATAGTGGGCTATTGCAGAGCCGCGCTGCAGCCAGGATAGATGCCGACAATATTGATTGGGATCCACTCTCCTGCCTGAATGACAGCTGGCTCTGCCTCTGTAGAGCCAGAGCCAGCTGTGCCCGTCCCCTCCACTGTCCTTCCCTTCACTCAGAGCTGGAGGAACAAGGAAAAGGGGGTGACTGACAGTCACTGCTCTCTGCAGGGAGAAAATCGTGAACTGAGTGATCAGTGGTATATAATCGCTCAGTTCTAGATCCATAGAGCCAAGTTGTGACAGCTGCAGTGTCACATGTCTGCTCTAACTATTGGGATAAGTGCATTTCCCTCATGTGCTGTGTACTGCATGGGTACATTTAAAAACAGCTCACAGTTGAACTTTCAAAAAAACAGAGATCTAAGATTATTAACATTCAACTAATTGTTAAGTACATGCGTGACATTTCCCTCTATGGGCACAGCGGGGTGCAAGGCGGTTGTACTGCATTTCATACTGCGGAGTTGAAAAAAAGTAAAGCATGCCTTCCTTTTTTTCAGAGCCCACAGCTGCGTTCCCACTGAAAGACAGTGGTGTGAATGGGCACCATCCGTGACAGGGCGCTGCGCTGGAAACAACGGCCAACGCAACTTCAACACAGATAATGTGAATGGAACCTCAAATGAGATGACCATTTTTTAAATGGCGCTCCTAGCCACACATCTAGGCTACTGTATTCAAACAGCCCACAGCAGCCTACATACCGCATTGGCATAGATTCGACACGTGTATGGCAGGCTTAAGTCAGTCCACCCTGGTACATGTATGATAAAAGCACTTTCACTTTTCTCTGAAGAAAAGGGAATGAAGCAGAAGTTTCAAACTTGTCGGACATTTCTTCAAAAAAGAAATAGTACTTCCAACGCTTATGAGTCACAGTTGCGATTTTCCTGCAATATGTATAGAACTGTGGCTCTATGGTACTAAGTTAAGCTGCTTTTGAATGATTACTTCTATAGTAAACTTGTTAATTTACATAAACCCACCATAGCTGCCCAATGGATTATAACCCAATTAACACAAGTAAGCAGGAGTCAAGCAAAGACGGGGGTGGGGGAGCAGATGGGGGATGGGGCCAAGGTAACAGATGCAGGCTTGTATACTAGGATTTGCTGGCAGGCAGGTTGCAAATAATAAATCATTGATCACTGAAAGGCAATTAATACAAATAAAGTCGTGCCAAATCTGTATTTTCCTCCACAAGGCTTTTCAAAGGTTATAGCCTAGAGTTCAAGCAATGTTATGTTTTGGGAGTACAACGACTCTTCTGCAAACACAAAGTGAGCTGTGGCTGCAATTTTGAATTTTGCAATTGCTCTCTGTAACTATTACAGCCTTGTGATGATGTAACAGGAGCCCGCAGAAACCCTCATTGTCAGCTACACTGTTCACTGATGCACAAGTTCTTCATTCTATCCATTGTGCTTAAAGCTGGCCATACACTGCTAGATTATCATACAAAAGTTCATATGTTCATGTGTCTGTCTATGGTGGGCATAACCTAAGAAACACTGTGCAAGATTGCTGCACCATTTGTGTACAATAATCAAATGCATGAAGAAATGTTGGTGCAACATGTTGGAAATAATTTGTCCTTTCTCCTTCACTTAAAGTGACATTAAGACTAAAGTCCGTCCGTCCCCACAACCCCAGTAAGGACTTACCTTAAAGTGACATTAAAGTAAAAAAAAAAAAAAGATCCCTCCCCCCAATGTTAATGTCAGCACTTACCTTAAATGATGTCTCTTAATCCGATCTTCCTCTTCTTTCCAGTCCTTTTCATCTGTCCCTCCAGCGCTGCTGCGGCTCTCCGATCCAGCGCTGACTCCTCTGTGCTAGCTGGCACTTCCTGTCCCACAGTGTCTGCATGCGGGTGCACGCGTCCTTAGACTTACCTTGCGTCTCTCCTCATCTCCTGGCTGAAAATCCGAAATGCGCATGCGCCCGCCCCAAGATGCTTTGCGGCCGCCCGAGCAGTTTCGGATATTCTGACGGGAGCGCGCGGCGAAGACGGGGTAAGTTTAAACCGCTGTTAAAGCGTTTTGGTTTTTTTTACATTTTGGATACATCTACTGCTTGCTAGCCGTAGATATATGCAAAAAAAACCAAGGCTTTAGAAACCCTTTAAATGATTCCCCTTAATCCGATCTTCTTCTTTCCTGTCCTTTTCAGCTGTCCCTCCAGCGCTGGTGCGGGTCTCCGTTCCCGCACTGACACCTCTGTATTCCTCTTCTCTGATGTCCCACGGAGTCTGTGCGGGTGCGCGCTGCTCCATAGGCTTACCTTGTGTCTCTCCTCGTCTCCCGGCCGAACATCTGAAGTGTGCATGCGCCCGCCCCGAGATCCTTTGTGGCCGCCCGAGGCTCTTCAGATGTTCGGACGGGAGCCCGTTGCAGAGACACAGGTAAGTATTAACCCTTTGAAAAAGTTTAATTTTTCTCTTTTTATTCGTTTTGCATCTATCTACTACTTGCTAGCTGTAGATAGATGCAAAAACAAATGAGGGGTTAATAACCCTTGAAACTACAGATGTATATCAGAATAGCCTTGAGGTTACTTGCAGGATAAAAGCTAAACAGCTCATGTAGTTTGGGAAATAAAAGCATCTTTCAAAGGTCAGATGAGTAGCAAATGATTGACTAAAACCTAAAACCGCGCTGTCATAGTGTGCATATCAGTACACACTGATATACACATACATTCAATGGAAGGTGAAATCACAGATCCAGAGGAAGAAGGAGAATAGCACTTTATAGGATGGATGACTGAGCGTACCTTGTTCAAGCCGGAAGAGCCTCTTCTCTAGCTTCTCCATATCGTTCAGCATCAGAACCCGAACCTGCTTAGTGTGCTCCATTGTGGCTTCCAGGCTTTGCTTTCCTTCTCAGACTGCAGGCAACGATGACATAGAAACACAAGTGACCCCTGTAAAATATAAGGGTGGAATTCAATAAAGGAAACACAGCGGCCCGATGTGCCATCGCTGAGGCTGCACACTTACATTGTAGAAACCTGTCTAAGGGAAGTCAAGGGAAAAAAAACGATCAAGTCTGTGATTGCAAGGTTACATGTACTATACTGGAGGCTGCACAGCAGGGATCAGTGCGCACAGAGCTGCCAGACACACAGTGTGCCCGAGGAAAGAGAGGAAGAGGTAAGAACATGATGCTGGCATCTAAACAATGTTTGTTATTCAGCGAACAATCTAAATATATATGCATCTCACCTCCTCCTCGTGTACACCCCCTTCAAAGACCCTCTAAATGTCCCTGAGACGCAGGCAGAATGTAGGACGTGCAGAGAGTGACAGTCAGGACAGTGCAAAGAGCGAGAACCTCCCTCTGTACTCAATGCATCCCAACCCGCCTATCACTGGCCCAGTACTAGCCACATACACAGGCCAAACCCTCCCACTTCTCACACACAAACAGCTGCTTTCTACTGCTCGCCTTCAGATACAGCCCTCCTACTGAGTACACAACCATATACACTGATATACACATACAGCACTCCTACTGAGTACACAACCATATACACTGATATACACATACAGCACTCCTACTGAGTACACAACCATATACACTGATATACACATACAGCACTCCTACTGAGTACACAACCATATACATATGCAGCCCTCCTACTGAATGTACACTGATATACACATACAGCCCACCTACTGAATGCACACACTGATATACACTGATATACACATACAGCCCTCCTACTAAATGTACTCTAATATACACATACAGCCCTCCTACTGAATGCACACACTGATATACACATACAGCCCTCCTACTGAATGTACACACTGATATACACATACAGCCCTTCTACTGAATGTACACTGATATACACATATAACCCTCCTAGTGAATGTACACACGGATATACACATACAGCCCCCCTACTGAATGTACACACTGATATACACATACAACCCTCCTACTGAATGCACACACTGATATACACTGATATACACATACAGCACTCCTACTGAATGCACACTGATATACACATACAACCCTCCTACTGAATGTACACTGATATACACATACAACCCTCCTACTGAATGCACACACTGATATACACATACAGCCCTCCTACTGAATGCACACTGATATACACATACAGCCCTCCTACTGAATGTACTCTAATATACACATACAGCCCTCCTACTGAGTGCACACACTGATATACACACACAGCCCTCCTACTGAATGTACACTGATATACACATACAGCCCTCCTACTGAATGTACACACTGATATACACATACAGCCCTCCTACTGAATGTACTCTGATATACACATACAACCCTCCTACTGAATGTACTCTGATATACACTGATATACACATACAACCCTCCTAGTGAATGTACACTGATATACACATACAACCCTCCTAGTGAATGTACACTGATATACACATACAACCCTCCTACTGAATGTACTCTGATATACACTGATATACACATACAACCCTCCTAGTGAATGTACACTGATATATACATACAGCCCTCCTACTGAATGTACACTGATATACACATACAACCCTCCTAGTGAATGTACACTGATATACACATACAACCCTCCTAGTGAATGTACACTGATGCACACATACAACCCACACCTTGCAATGTACTCAGTCCTTCATTCTCTCCGATATAACACCTCAATCTGTACTATGTCCCACACTGAAAACAGCATTTTGACTTGCATCCAGGAATGGGCTGGGCAAGAAAGGTGCAGGTGCCTTCTTTGGGTGTGTTTTTGGTCCCAAAAACATGGGATTTCATGAAAACCGCATGGACATGTTTTAGCACATTTTCTGCATAACAACCAGCCTCCTCTTCCATGAGTATTGCAAGATAACCAACAACAGATATTGTCATTGGCCAAAACAAAACAACGCATGGCGCATGAAAATGCAGCAAAAAATGCACATCAACGCACACGCATAAACAAACTATAAAACTGCACGAATATGCAAATGCACAAGTGTGAAAAGAGACTAAAGGCTCCATTCACACAGGAGCGGTTGTCCGCAGGTATTCAACCGTACGAATACCCGCGGAACCGCTCTAAACATAAAAAGCATGCACTTTAATGCGCGCTGAACAGACTTTTGCGGCGGCCGCACTCTAGGAAACCGCGCGTCACACATAATAATACAAGCGAGCGGAATTCGCGTGTATGTTAAAGTTTGCACAGTTTCGTTCCGTGCGGTTTTCCTTGAGAAAAAGCGCACGAAAAACACGACCACCATGCGCTCGGCAGCATTCGGCTATTCACTCCCTGCCGTTAGGCCCCTATGTGAATAGGGGAGAAGGGCAGCGAGTAAACTGCCGGAGCTTTGGCTCAGCCGATTCAGATGTTGGATCGGCTGAGTCGTAGTCCTTTTGCAATGCATGATCGGCTGACTGAAGTGCAGCCGAAGGAAGCCGATGTACGGATGATGTCAGCCGACGTACGGCTGAAATCAGCCATACTGAGCCGTAGTGAATAGACAAACGTTGTTCGGCTCACTTCATTATGGCTCGGTTAGGCACTCGGCTGCCTCCGGCAGCTTAGTGATTAACCCTGATAGTAAAAACTAAAAAAAACCCCAGTGGTGAATAAATATCACCAAAAGAAAGCTCTATATGTCCCAAAAAAATGATATCAATGAATTTCAGTACAGCGTTGCATGACGGAATAAATGTCAAAGTACCTCAGCACTTAATACTGAAAAAAGGCCTGGACAGGAAGGGGGTTTAGCACCCCGCTCTTAAAGTGTGTAACACACATGATGAGACTCCGTTCACACATATGCGGTGCAGGAGCACATTAAAACATGCACAACATGTGCTGCATTTTGAAATGCCGGACGAGTAGCTTCCCGGCCGACCGTTGTAATTAAACTGCCGTCCGGGAGCTTTACATTCAAGCGATATGTATAGAGACGCCCGATCGCTTGTATTAGCTGTGGTTTTCCCCCCTCCCCCCAGCCGCCGCTGTCACTGCCGTTGCTGGGCCTGAGATTCACTGTGCCCGGTGCGAACGGGTCCGGCACGGCTGCTCTGTGACAGGAGATCAAAGGGAGATCGGTCCCTGAATGCAGGAAGTGATTTATATTACATCACTTCCGCATTCAGCTGGCCTTCCCAGCTACAAAAGCTGGTGAAGCAGATCTCTGCTTCATCAGCTTCTCTGGGGGTCCCTAGGTGACATTAGGGGTCTTGGAGACCCCTGATGTCTCCATAAAGAGGACCTGCCATGTAAATTGGCATACCCAACATGTGTAGCGTGATTGTCATTTTCGTACGTAGGCACACTTGATGCATGTTCACAGTAATATGCAGGCTCTCGTGGGGGCGGGGGGCTTTAACATTTTATTCTTAATTTTTACATTTATTTAATTTAATTTTTTTTTCACTTAACTGAATTGCTTTTACATAGGGGAGCTACAATGATGTGTGATAGCACATTGGAAGTGACAGGTACTCTTTAAGATGACATTAAGGGTGAATTAGACCCATAGCGTCACCCTTCCACTCCAATGAAGCTACTGCGTTCCAATAGCTTCTTTCCTGGTTTCTGCCACCGGAGAATGACACCTGGGGGACCAGAAGTGATGCAATCAGCGTCGCTTCTGGCCCCATTCAGTAGGGAGGAGATTGGCAAATGGATGTTAGCCGGTCTCCTTCCCCAACTTCCTGCCAACACCCGTGATGCCGGGCCCGCAGGAGGGGCAGGGGAGCCGAGGAAGCAAGGCAGGGGTGTTAAGTTAAGCGTGCACTAAAGCGGCCCCTGGCATCGATTTGGCAACAGCTGACAGTTAGCTGTACACATGAACAGATTAGCCAATGAGAGTCTGTTTAAAGGGGTCTGCTGCCAGCGAGGTATGCCATAAGCCAGTGGCAGCGAGGGTTAAAGTGGACCTTTGCCCAGGCTTATGGGCTTTGGTCTGTTGTCGGTAAATGACTTGGCACCGCTCTGTACACTGGTGTGTGGCATGGAAAATAACAGATAAGCTAGTACATGCACAGGCTTGCTTGAAAACTGTATACAGGACACACCTATTCTCCTTCTCATTGTCAACACTGCAAGCATGGATAAAGGAAAGTCAGAAAAGTCCAGCAGCATATTGTGTCATTTACAGGACCCTTCAAAAGCAACACAAATACTGTACATGTGAAAACACAACAGTCACTTCCTCACGCACTATAGTTGGAAAAAAAACCCTAGGGCCTACCTCCCAACTGTCCCTCATTTGAAACCAATTCCATCTGTCCCTCGTTCCTCCTCAGTTGTCTTTCCTTTTTGGTCAGATGTACAGATATCTATGAATATATTCTATTGAACTGCTTATTCTTATTAATTGTTATTCTGCACTAAAATCTTTATCATATCGTCTAATGATCTTGTTTGCTGTTTGGGAAAGCCGATATAAAGAAAACGTCATGTTAAAAAAAAACACTATTTTGGGATTAAACAAGCACGTTTTCCATTGTGGTATTGTGTGGCAATCCCACGGTGGAACTGGGAGTTGTAGTCACCCAGGACTCTCAGCCAGAGGGGCTGAGCGGTTCCAGGAAACAAATTATTTTGCTGGGAAAGAACTGGCTTTGCAGTTCTCTCTGGGTGTTCTGTGCTTGGCATGGGATCCTGGAACTGGGAGATTTCAAAGTGAATTGGGGTGGATGAGATCTCCATTCCTGGGTCCGGGGTTTAGTAGGGACCAGCACCTGGTGATTGCACACCTGTGCACAGCCCTTATGGAATGGGTGCTGGCTAATGTTCTGGGCTCCAGCTGGGAAGAGGAACATAGGTGTTCAGGAGTCAGGAGGACTCCACCCAGAAGTCAGAGGGGAGCCTGGTGGGGTGTGTGCGGGAGGCACACGAGGGCCGAGGCAGGCGGTGTGTTGGATAAACTTCTATAAACAGAATATCTTGCTGCACTCCTTACCGCAAAACCCAAAGCTGGGTGGGTGCTTGTAGTGACCACGGAAGGCACCGTGTAAATCACAGAAAAGAGAAATAATGTCACCAGCACACCATTCTTTGAAAATCAATGATCCATTTTAATGGCATATTGCCATCCAAAACAAGCACTTTCGGGGCCGCAAAGGGTCCCCTTCATCAGGCCTTTGCGGCCCCGAAAGCGCTTGTTTTGGATGGCAATATGCCATTAAAATGGATCATTGATTTTCAAAGAATGGTGTGCTGGTGACATTATTTCTCTTTTCTTTTTAGGTGGTGTGTTGGAGCCACACCAGGAACAGCCAGGGAGGTTGGAGGAAATGGACAGTGGCCCTGAGGCCATAGAAACAGCAGTGCTGCAGGAG